TCTGATGTTGTCATCTCATAGTCTCTTTCCTGAACTGTTATATTTTGTCTTCCTTCTTACTCGTCAAGCCTATTCAAGGATGTCAAACCAGAATTGATGGTATAACACTAATCTAGCCATAACGTACTGTCAAGGCATTTTAGATGGCGATGACCTTTTCTTTGGTTAGTGTCATTTGAACAGTGTATATTTTCACTTCCACAATAATGTCTTATTAATCATCCCTGTTTATACTCTGTTCATTCTATCAGCATGACTTTATATATCTCCTCCATAATCTCTTTCTTCCCTGCTCTCCTATTTTGTTTAGGGAGGGAAGGAGGGGGGGGGGGGGTTGATGATTCATGTTGTATAGCATTGGGATGAGGCAGATGCAGGGCACATTTCAATTCATGGATTGGGTTGATTGTAAATCAAGTCTCATTGTTGAACATCAAGTAATTTCAATTATTCAGATTCTCCTTTTTCCTCCAATTGTTCAGACTGTTGGTTGCTCGAAATGGGGGCTGCTGTCACATGCTCATTGATCGATCAAGTTGATTGAAAGAGTCTAGAACTTTTGCTGGATATCCTTCACTTTTTGGAATTAGGAGTGAAAGGATAATCTTGCTGTGACTTGGACTTTTTGACAAGTGCACAGAAAAGGGGATTTATCAATGCTTTTGTCTATGGTGAATACTCTTGTGGTTAAAATGCATCATCATTGTCTTCTGTTGGACGACTTCTCTCTGGTCCATGGGCTCTGAAACTTGAGAAACAACACAAGGTAATACACAAGATTTGTTGGGCAAGGATGTGGGCTGCTTTTTCGGTTTTCCCTCACAATGTGTTCCCTGGGGTAATGGTGTTGAATCTCAGCTTTCTAGATGTATCGTTTATTCATTTGGTGCGTGAAGTTCTTCTTGAGGTAACGTGTCCTCATCTTTTAAGGTTCCACCAATCAGAAAGTACTTTAAGCTAATTTTCTTTTCTCAACAGACGTGTTCTGAGAATCCACAGTAAGTGAATCCTTATCTTTTGTAGTTGATTTGATGCTAAATTCCGGAGGGATAGGGTAGGGTTAATGGCCTGGGAGCGAGGCCACATGGTTTCGACCTTTTCGCCGTGTCCTAATCTTATTCTTGCATGAAAAGGTCATCAAAGTCAGGTTGATGGAGTTGCGTGCCATTATAGGAATCATTGTTCGCTTAAAAGAAGCTTATTTTGGTCAACTTCCTTACTTATTACATCCATATTTACCATTCTCTTGTGATGTATTTCACGCTTGGGATAAAAGAAGCATGTGATTGGAGACGCGAAGATATTGGGTTATTTAAAAAAAAAAAATAGAAAAGAAAGCATGAGGTTGGAGACTGGTTGGCCTGTATGTTTAATTAACCTGCCCCTGCCTTTAGAAGCATGCCCATCAAAAAGATACTGTTTCATTTTTCATTCTTGGTTTTACTTTGTGGTGTGCTTAAACTGAAGAAGAGCAGGCCAAAGTCCATTTTGGCACTGTCTTAGTCAAAGTATGTCTTTTGTAAACATGATGATTATTTGGTTTTTGTTAATTTTTCTTTAGTGATGAATGTTTGATTTAATTTGTCTTTTCTTCCTGATACATGGCTAATGAATTAACTAGTTAATTTTACGAGGCAATATTATAAGTTGACTACTTGGGGCTATTATCAAAGCTAATTCAGCATTTTTATCAATTGAAAAACATAAAATTCAGGAGCCAAAGCAAAGGATAAGATTAAAAAAAAAAACTGATTTTTTTTTTGGGTCTGCTTTAAATCACAAGTCAAAATCAGACGAGAACACCCTTGCATTCCAATGAAACTAACTAGCAATTGCTTGAAACGTACTATACATGTTTATAGAAAGGAGGAGATGAGGGTAAGTAACGATTTGCTTGCTGCAAGGAGCTGCAGCATAAGTTATCACTTTCTACCTAGTTGAATTTGATGCAACTTACAAATAGTTTAACGTACATTAAGGATTTCCAATCTTTGTTTAAGTTTTAACGAAGTCAACATAACCTTCTTTCTTTTTCTTTTTTTTTTTAACCAAACGTTAGAGGTGATAATATGGTTGACGCAAGCAATTAAAAGATTCGAAACACTTCGGAGTGGGCTACGTGGTGGTACCGGCTAATTGCACTCTTTCGTAATTTTATATACTTGGGGTGGGGGAGAGGATGATAACCGGGGGCGGGCTTGAACTTTTTGTTCTCTTAATCAGGACAATTGGTAGGCAAGCTAATGTTTGGCTTCTAAGTTCTAACCAAAATAAATAAAATAAGATAAAATGCAAGAAAAAGGTCGGTCCCATTTGTAGTTTTGCAGTACTTGGATGGACGGACAGCTCTAAACAAATTCTTCTAGATATCGTTGAGCACGTTCTTGAAACGAATAAAAAAAAAAGAGCATACACAGGGTGCAGAGCTTCTAGTTTCTAAAAGCCATGGGTGATTAGACCAAATTTAATCCCTGAAATGCAAGAGAAGAGATTTAGGTAGAGTTCATGTCGTTCTTTTTGGACCAATTTGCTTTCCTTTACGAGAGTTGCCATGATTTTCAAAGGAGTTTGCACAAAGGTCCCATAGAATCCACACGGTGGGACGAACCGTGCATTCTGCAGCAGACGGGGTTACTTAATTACTTGGTCAGGAAATGCTGATAGTTCCAAAAGCTGCTCTGGGAACAAATTTTAGGAGTATTATGCACTAAGCACCAAGAGCTCAATTTGGCTGCCGGGGCTGGACATGTCAAAGTTTTTCTTTCTTTCTCGTGTATATTCAATTTCCAAAAGAAGTAGGGTGGTTAATACTTAATAGTGATCACCTTAGTTTCCAATGTTGCGAGGCAGGAGGAGGACAAATGGCCTTTGGGCTTGAGAGAGTTTGAGAGACAAGCATGGAAAGTGGTAGCCTTCTTGCACAGCGCATGCTAGACAAGTCATGGCCCCACAGTCCCCAGAATAAGACCCTAACAACATCGATAAGGTATTCCTACTCCCATGGTTTATCCATGAACAGACCAGATGTGCCTACTATTATTCAAATGATTCAGGAAAGAATTGGATATGTAAGAATGCGAAACAAGCAGCTAGCGCTTTCTCGCCCATATTAATTTACTTGCAGTACTATTTTTCTCTCTCTCTCTTTTTTTTTTTTTGAAGGTTCTTAATTTGGCGGATGATGGATACTTCCAATTTTGTTGAGTGTAGTTACATTTTGCTCCAGTCCATGTTTCTTGTAGAAAGAAATCCTCCTTCAAACTCTGGAGTATAAGCGAATTAAAATCTTGTTACCGAACCATGTATCTGTTTCAGGCTTTTAGCCTAGCATTAGAATTTACTACTAGTTCGTAGTAGGACGCTTCCTAATTCTCCAGCAATCATTTCCATTCAGTCTGTTTATGTAAAGCAGCACCTTTTCTGAATCTAATAAACACCCGCACATACACACATAGTGCTGGAAAACGAGGTCTGTATTAATTTTCAGTCAACCAAATTAAAACAAGCAGCACGCCTGAAACCTATCAATCTCTTTCGTATTCATTCTGTCTTCTCTTGTTTATAAGCTATAAAATCTTTAGCTTTCGGTGTACAATTCTTTTAAGTAGTGAACGGAGCCTGAAGGTGGGAGATCCCGGAGAAATTATATGTTTATCTTCTGTGACACGTAGCATTCTTCAGTTACATTTTGATTGATCGATTAGTTTTTGGATCGTGACTGAACTATCATTATTAGAGGTCGCGACTCCAAATTCATATATGGAAGCTATATATATATACACTACTCCCTCCAAATTCGTACATAGTTTTGTTTTTCTTTTTTATCCGTCATAAATTATAGTCCGCTTTCCAATAAAAGGGTATAATAATTGACTTGACATGTGTACGTACTCTCTTATTCATTAATTGCTTGAATTCATAACTTCAATGGTATAATTTTTTATAGTATTGTTATTGTACAAGGATATTTTAGAAAGAAAAACAGTACGTTAAATTTACTCTTCTAATAAAGTTAATTAATTTTTCTTAAATCCCGAGTAAAAAAAAAATAAAAAAACCACGCTGCTTAATATTTTAATATTAAAGTGAGACAAAGGAAGTACCTTTTACTAATAAAAAGAAGTGTTCTTTTTGGACTCATGTTGTAAGCATATTGTAGTGATGTAGAAGAATCATGTAATTTTCCCCTTTGGTCAAAATGGCATGCAATGACGGAAAGCAGCTAGCAGGCCGGCCGACCAATAACGCAGCGTAGTACAGCCATAAATTCATCACGATAACTCCAACTATCACTATATTCAATACCCTCTCTCTTCGCTAATGCGACATCTCATTCCTGCCATTGATGCATAGAAAGGGGTGGTTCCGTGAGGGAGACTAAAATGGCAATAAAGAAGAAGAATGCAAGACAAGAATAGGAGACGTTTTGGACGATCCCATCAAAGTGAATCCTTTTCAACGTTTCTTGTTCTTCGCTTTTGTGGAAATGTGAATCAACGTACAACCATGCTTGACTGCTTATACATCGAAGTAATTTGTAGGTTATAAGCTTGTCTGGGGTAATTACCGGGAAAACAAATCAATTTGTAAGCCTTGTCTGTGCGTACAGACTATCTCCTTATCGGAGAACCAGAAGTACATTAATCGGTAGCTTTTCTATGAAGTAAATGAGGAAGGTAAAATCTTTTACAAGCATTTTTTTTACATACCACCACCATGGGCTGTTGTGTGTAAAATCTTTATACAAGCATTTTTTTAATTAATCTTTTAAATTTTGCGTGTGTGTATATATATATATATATACATGGATAAGTACAATCTTTACATTGATAAGTAACTAATGTGCATTCAACGAACACAGTAATAAATAGAAGTATATATATATATATATAAGGTGCCATGATTTTGAGCTGTAAATTGAGTATGAGAATTACAACTTCATCAGTCCTCATTTTTGCACCACCCTACTTATCAAAGTCTTTGGTCGCCCTCAAATCCCAAGTTAAAATTCCTACATGCAGTCATCTTTATTGGATAAAGAGATCTAGAAGGAGGACTAGCTCTGAGTTTCAGTCACTCATATTAAAAAAAAAAAATCAAAACCATTATGTTTACAGGATAATATTTTAGAATATTTGGAAATCATGACGTAATACTAACAAAAAAAAAAAAAGACCACTAATTAATTAGATAAATTCTTCATTTATCGAAAACGCAGATTCCAATATCACAATCTGAGCTGGAGCTAAAAAATCCATTTAACTTAGAAGACCCTTCTTCCCTACCACTCTGCAGTAGCAGCAATCCCAAATCTGAACTCTCATGGCCTTCAAATCCTGCGGACACTATATCCCCCTCGTACCTCTCCTGATCATGGCTCAGCTGAGAGGCTACAAACTTGTCCAGGGCTCTCCAATCCGTCACTTTCTTGCTGCTGCTGCAACCCCTTAAAGGTTGTTCGTCATCTTCAGTGTTCTCTGATACTAAAGATATTGAGCTTGGCTTTTTTAGTTGTGGCATGGATGGGCTCTCCAGCTGAGGAAGCTGTACAAAGGGGTCAGTGGTGTTCAAGAAATTATTCAAGTTTTCTGCTTCTATCTCTTGCTTGCAGATGAAATTTTGGGAAAGATAATTATTTGCTGGCTGCCTTGTAATATAATCAAGAGGATCCACAACGGAGCTAACTCCACTTGGTTCATCGTAGAAATAACTTGAGTCCCACGCTTCAATGCTTTTTGTCTGCCCACTGGTGGTTCTCTTCTTGAATGCTCGGCATACCACCCATCCTTCTTCCTGTAATAAAATATCCCTACATTTAGTCCACGACTATTCTTTGGATGGAAAAGAAAAAAAAATTAAAATAAAAAAGGTTGCTGAAATCATTTGCCCTTGTCGGTCCCTTACTTGCATAGAAGTAGAGAAGATAGTCAATGGTGCAACTGTAGAGGTACAACTAGAAAAGATTCAACTTTTCTTTAGAGAAGTTGAATTCGGGATGGTTTACACTAAAAAGGGCACATCAAGTTGGAGAAACCGTGTTAATTTGGTAGTGACTAATAAACTTTTTGACTTTCAAGGGGGACATTCATCTTTAGCTGAGATATATGCATGTGGGGTTTTGGATCAACAATTACTGAAACGACTTGCAGGGGGGATATGCATCTTTAGCTGAGATATATGCATGTGGGGTTTGGATCAACAATTAATGAAACATGCACGGAAGGCTTTGATCGATGATTCCGTACCTCACAAGTTGGAAATATGGGCCCTTTTGAAGTATATGAAATCTGAAACAATTATTTTATGCGAATTCCCAAGAATTTTTGGCCCTCTCCATCTTGTTTGAGAAAGACAATAGTATTGAAAGTGTAGGAACAAAAACCATGCACGAAGGTGGGAACAAGCTCAAAACCATTTCGGGAATAGTTTAGCTTTTAAGTATTCTTTTCAGAGTGAAGGAAGAAGACTGAAAAAGCTAACTATGCTTCCTGTACGATTTGAAGAAGGGAAAGGGGGGGGGGGGATTGAGTACTTGCCTGAGGAGGACCATTCTCTTCAGATTCCAGCCGATATTCATGCATGATCCAATCGGATTTTTGCCCATTTGGTGCCCTCCCTTTGTAGAAGACAAGGGTTTTCCTCATGCCAATGAGTTTTGATTTATCATAAACGGATTTATCCCTCCCTGTTGCTTTCCAGAACCCGGCAATGGTGGCCCTGTTAGTCCTTGTCCCCGTCGGATATTTCTTATCTTTGTGACTGAAAAAATACCACTCATTCTGTTCTTCATATCCGATCCGGCATTTATCTGTCAAGTAACATACTTTTCAGGTAGTATTAATTGAAACCCTAAATACTTGCTACGACGTATGACAAATGTAAGTAGACAAGATGGAAAGAAACGTGTATGTACCTTGTAGATCCCATGGTTCAATCCTATATAGATCAATATCTCTTATAACATCAAGATCTATCTTCTGTGATGCAACCTTCTTCCTGAGGTAGTAACCAACGAGCTCTTCATCGGTTGGATGAAACCGAAATCCTGGAGGAACACATGATTCGGCTGTGTCCATCATGACGGCTGTTCTACATCAAAATCAGCATCAATGAAGATGATGGTTAGATCATAACTCTTGTTGTAGTGTAATGTGTGTGTACATAGCCAAACATGCCATAAGAAGCACAAAAGTGAAGAGGGACAGGGAAGACTATGAAGCTTTCAGACTAATCCATGACAAGTGTTACACAAGGGATAGGAAATAATCATCAAGCCACACATTTGGTGGTAAACAATGTTCAAACTTTAGCTCTGGAAGGTTGGAAGCACTTGTCATTGGCAAAACTTTTTCTTTTTCTTTGAAAATTGACATTTTTATAGAGGTTGAGATAAGGGGACAAAACTTTCAAGAAAACAAAAAACAATAATGGGTCTTTGCTAACCCTTCATCAAAACATAAGGACTTCAGTTTTTACAGCTTAATTCTTTTTTTTTTGGTTTTTCTTTTTTGGGGACGGCGGTGGGGGGAGGGTGGCATCTATATTAATTGTGTGGCTCTGTAGAAACGGACAACTAAAGGTTTGTACCAATGATGTTGTCTTGTGGTGGAGAATGGTGAAATGATGAATAAAGAACAGGGACTTGATCACGATATTATAAAATTATTATCAATCAAATTCAAACACATTGTTCTCACAATTTAAAAAAAGTCAAGAACCAAGATAAATTAGTAGTCCATTGAGATCGATCAATAAAAGATTAGTAATAGAAGTTTGAGTGGCAAAAGTTCAGAGGGGATGACGTTATCAACTACTTGTATTTATTTGGCACGCGCTATTTGCAAGGGAATGCGAAAAGGTAAGGGGAGTTAAAAGGCAGTGCGCGGTTCGGCTAGTTTGGATCAAGCCTGCCAGAAAGGGAATGCACGAAAAGGAAAAGAGAGAATTCTGTCATGGGTTTTTCGAGAATCGATGTTTTATTTCAGTGATGGAGTCTGAGACCTTTGTCTTCTTGTCTGCAATAAACTTGGCAACACCTGAGTCTGACTCCCTGACTCACTGGTCCTTAGTCCAACTTGTTAAGAAGTTGTGGAAGAGAGACCATTTCATCTCTATTCTCAGTGTATGAGAGGTTAGAAGACACAGTGCTGTGGTAATGATTGGACTTCAGAGGATACTCCAACCAGTATCACAAACTGGGCAACTGCTCAACCACAGGAGAGGAGAGATAGAGATGCTGCAACTGCCAACCTTGACAAATCTTGGAGAAAGACTGATTGTACTGTAGGTGTTTGGTCTATCTGAAATCTTTGTACTCAGGCCAGGCTTAGAGGTTATAGGGCTAGAGCCTCTGGGGGATTTGGAAGTCGAAAGCTAAATCTCATTTCGTACGGTATCATCACCTATGTCTGTATTCATAATCTTGTAAAGGGTATCTTTTTTGCAAGAACAGGAAACCATTCCACAGTTGCCTTCAGCAAAGAATGTCGAAGGAAGATAGTGCATAATTTAGGAACCAAACCACTAAAATGGGATGAAGAGAAAATGAGAATCTGATTAATTAAACCTTTTTTTTTAAAAAAAAAAAGAAGAGCAGTAAGTATGTGGTGAACTGAAGAAATTGGATGAAACAACATGGCTGAGAAGACCGATCTCATCAGCCATCAACCAAAATGGAAACTGAAAAAAAAATTATGGGAGTGATGCATGAAATCTGCTGATACAATGAAAATTGTATTCAGTTTGCGTGCATTTGCATGGGAAATTAATGCAAAAGCTTACCTGGAGGAGATAGCCAGACAGGTGCTGGTAGTGTAGTATTGGCTCCGTTACTCTAGTTATTTGCTCAAGGACAATGAATTTAAAGGAGAAGAAGACAAAGGTAGAAGACACTGCTGATACTGCAAAAAAGCAAAGTTTGAGAGAAAGTGAAAGAGAACTCAGTCCGAAGGGAGTGTGAGAAGTAGTGAATATAAAAAGGAGAGGGCAAAGGAAGAGAAGAGAAGGGGGAAAGGAAAGGACTAGTTTGGACCGCTCAATTGCGCATGGCTTGATGGTTGTCCCCATTGCTGGCGTCATTTGCCTGGTTCCTACAGAACACCTTCCACCCTCCATTTTTTCTTTTCTTTCTGTTTTATTTTTTTAAAATCTATTGCTCTTTGTTCCATTATATTATCTGAGTGTGTAGAAGTTGTGCACACGTACTGGTTTTGAAATTACATGACCTAAACAACGAAATGTAGATTAGTGGGTAAAATGCAGCAAGTCATCAAACATAGATTAGTTAATTTTGGGAACTTACGGGTTCAAATCGTCAAGGGTTGGTGGAGAATTACGGTTAATCCTCTGTAAAGAAACAGAATAAGCAAAAAACAAAATGCAGGGCCTAGTTTTGCATGTCAACCAGTACTAGTAGTAATTGACATTTGATTTTTGTTGGAACCGTGAGAGGAATTCAATTCTTCTTTTACTGTAGTGTATGCTATTTGTTCTTAGTGGAGAGTGTTTCCTTGTTTTTTTGTGAATTTATTTTTTCAACAATATTTCCAGTTTCAAAACATTTGGCAAAAAGTATAAAGGAAGAAACAAAAAGCACTGATAAGCAGAAAGAAATGGTACTAGTATTTGCAAAAGGAAATTTGAAAAAGAAACACTTTATGTGATTTAGAAGTTTAAAACTTCAATTCACATATCACATATCATATAGGAAAGAAATTGACTTAGGTACTATTGTTTGAGGATCGCTCTTTAATACGTGAATGTCTTTCTTTAAGATCAACCGCCAAATGCATTTGCATTTATTTTCATTAGTTGTCGTGTTATTGCAGGTGGGATCCTCTATGTCGCTATCCGGTGTCAAATTTAATATCATTCTCACTTATCACTTAAAGGTAAAAAAAAAAAACTTAAATAAATATCATATAACAAGTTAAATAATCAGATCACTTTGTATAAATATAAAAGTGACACTGAGTTGTCACTGGAAAGGCGATACCGAGAATCTCATGTGATATTACTGTGGCCTATATACTAGTGGCAAGCATTTTAAGATAATGACATTTTTTTCTTGCTTTGAAATGATAATTTGAAATTCTTAGATGAAAACGGTACCATATCGATTACTAAACTTAAAAATAAGGTCGTTAAATTGACTGTACATTTATCCATGATCTATGTTTGTTTAGCATGATGATTAGAGGTGTCAAAATGGGTGACTTGGGCGGGTTTGGGTTGGGTAAAATGGGTAATGGGTATAAGTGAGTCAACTCATTTATACCCATTTAATTAGATGGATATAAATGGGTAAGTCAAAAAATGAATTGGGTAACCCAATTACCCATTTATAACCCATTTATTTTAATTTTTTGTAAACTCATTTAAATTCATTTTTGCAAACTAAGTTATCAATTTATACCACTCTTTGTACCCATTATTAGTTTTAAATATTTACTTATAATGTTCAATAAACTTAATTACCATTTTTTTTTCATTTATACTCTGTCACAAAATTACCTATTATTTAATAATTGAATAATAAGAATATAAAAATTTGAACTAAGTAATATAAAAATTAATATAAAACCTTAATCCAAAAATTTTGAACCCCTAACATTTTTTTCATATATAAATATAAATTTTCATTTTATAAAGATAAGAAAATAGGCTAAAATTTATTATAAATTGGTAATGCTAAAAAATGAGCAAGTTAACAAACTAAGAGAAAATAAAATAATAAGATAAAACCAACAAATATTAATAATAATAATGAAACAAAAGTAGTTAACATCATGACAAAATGAAAAATTTGAAAAAAAAAGGTGGGGGAAAAGAAGAGACTTGGGGGGAAGAGAATTCTAAATGGGTTAATTGGGTTTGATGGGTTACCCAATAATACCCATTTCATTTATACCCATATACAAAAATTTAAGATACCCATACCCATCTATTCATGGGCGGGTATGGGTAAATTTAGTTAAGTGGGTTGATTTGCCACCTCTAATGATGATTATTTGTAAATTTCACAAATCCCAATCATTAAAAAAGGAAAAAAAAAAAAGAGTGATCCTAAATAGATTCCATTTTCTCATTTTTAGAAATGCTAGAACTTGCAAGTATTACTTGAGTCGGTGTTTTGCAAATTAGTAACCTGACTCTTCTTAAACTAAATTTGTTTATTGACTGAAAATAATGAAAACAGAACACAATAAAATATATAGTGGTTAGAACCTTGGAGCTCATGTGAGCGTGCAGTCTATGACTTGAAATTTCTAAACTTGGGAGAACATAACCATTTACCGAATGATAAATTTTTTTTTTTCTATGCTAATTTTTGATCTCATTTTACTAGGGTTTTTTCCACTGGAAAATCATGTTGTCTATTTTCAACAAATCATATACATTTCATTCAATATTTTCTCAGGAAAAATACTACTAGAATATAGGTGCTTTTCAGCAGGGTATAGTACACTTGAGCTCTGACTTTAATGAATACTGAAGGGTAAGGGGCTGGGAAAACAACTTTCCCAAATGATGTATGGCTTCAAATTGGCCAAAATTCCAATCTTAAAGTTGGGAGAATGTTACGTAATTTTGACACAATAACGTGAAAAATAATTCCGTCAAATTTATCATTTATAATATGTTTATAGATTATTACACCATTCACGAACAGTTATATCGACAATCATTTTTATTCCCCTCACAATGCTGAATGTGCCCTCGGAAATTCCGTCAAGAAATTAGAGGTCCAGTGGTAATCCTCTATGTTTTAAGTTTTGGGAGCTCGGTCAAAATAATGATAAGATGCACTCAAATTTCAGCTCCAAAATCGGATGTAATTTCCTACGTTCGCCCATGAGGTGACTTGTAACCTGTGACGGAAAGTCTACGACCAAATCAACCCTGAAATCCACGTGTCATTCGCCAGACGCCTAACACTAGTCCCCCATTCCTCTCGTGGGGGACGCCAGATTGGATTGGCGGCTCACGTTTTTAATGGCTCCCCTCTTTGATGGCTCGGCTTTCTTTTCCTCTTTTTCCTGTTACCCTGTACCGTATACTATTTGTAAAAGTTAATGATATTGGTACTCCCTGAACGGGGCAATAGGACTAGGGCTTTATATTGATACTCAAAAAAAAAAAAAAGAAGAAAAGCTTCAAACACTCCACTTGTTTGACTTTTTTTTTTTTTTTTTACGTAACGGCACATCTAACCTAATCTAACATACTCTAGAGTGGTTGGTCCAACTGAGCCGAAATAATTGACGAAAAATGAACCACCATTGAATCAGACGGATACACCACGTATCCGTATGAATTTAGAAGAAATCACATATATAGTAGCACATTGGTGGTTTGACCTCCCACTTCACAATTTATGTGGTGGCCAACTTATCTAGAGGAAAAAACTTAAATCGTTATTAGTCAAGTCCCTGGGAGCAATCCAAGAGTTGCCGGCTTTTGGGTTGACTTCTGGGATTAGGTTTAATTAGTCAAATTTCATTTCTCGAAAGAGGAAAAAACTTATCTAGAGGAAGTTAGTTTGTTTTTTATATTGATTGAATTAATGATTATTGCTCCTAAATCGTTATTAATATTATAAGACTCCCCCTTACAATCTCTATCTCTAGTTTCTTATTGCTTCTGTAGCCACTAACCACCGTGCACTGCCCTTAATCAAATGCAAATCAATACTAAAATTTTAAATAACCCGACAACCCAAAACTCCAAACCACGGTTCTCCCTTACTTTAGGGTTGCAAACGAGTCGAGTAGAGTGGAGTTTTGGCCTGATTGAGTCGAGTTTTGACTTAATTTTATTAAACTCGAACTCGAACTCAAACTTAACGAGCTGACAATTTTGAAACTCGAGCTCGAGCTCGAGCTCGAAAAAATAAAAATAATTATTTTATTTTGTAAAAAATAAAATAAAATAATATTTTTCTTAATAAATAATAAAATATTAAGGATATTTATGTAATTTTACTATTAAAATAAAAAAATAAATCTATATACTCGAGATCGCTAGCCGACTCACGAGTTAACGAACTTAATATTTTGAACTCGAGTTCGAACTCAACTATAACTCGACCAGCTCGAGCTCGAGTCGATTTTGAATCGAGCTGCTCAATTCGCTTGCACCCCTACTTTACTTGAAAGATGTGAATTAGTGATTTGGATGAGGCGCGGAGGTTGGGTTAGCTGTGACTTATTGCCAGCAAAATTTAGAATGAAATATGGGATTAAGACGAAAAATGTAAAAATTTAAAGAGCATGCAATTAGAATAAGGCTTTTGGTATAAAGAAGGTTTAAAGAGTAGTTTTGAAAGAGTAGATTTGTAAGTGTTGAGGCGCATATTTGTCAGTTTAGTTGACATAAAAAACAACCTTAGACTCTTTATGGAGTGCTAATAATATTATTTGTCAATAATATAAATTATAGTGAAGAATTAATACCCTCTAGTGTTCGTGTTGTAATTAAAAATTGGTATTCTTGGTAGTTTTTTAACTGGAAAACTGGAATGATTTCGGTCGACAAGTATTAGAGACAAGGAAGCATAGAAAACGTAGGGATTGGAGAAACAGTACTGTACGGGCAGCAGAGTCATCGTGGCAGGCAGTCGTTGGTTGGAAGTGATTGTACACCGCTTCACTTAGAAGGAAAAACTGGTAGGGTGGGAAGAAAAAAAGGACCCCACTTAGACAATTATGGACCCAATTTGAAAAACATCCCAAAATATCTCCAGGGCTTCTTAGTTTGGTTTCGATTATCAGGGACTCATCAGGAGCCTACTACAGAAATTTCCCAGCAACCCAAGAAACAAAATTGACATGTTACAATTTGTATACTTATATAATGTAGTTTTGACCTCCGTGTGCTACTTCGGAGCAAGTCTCTACGCATTTTTAAGGAATTAGTTCGATCGAAAAGTTGAAATATCCTAAATGGAAAAAAAAATTATATATA